AAATTAGTTACATCTGGACAGCTCTAAAGTTTGACAATACCAAGGCAGAATGCAATACTAATGAAGGTGCCAGTCTTTAATACACCTGCTGCTGCATGGTCATCTCACAGACACAAAAAGTTAATAAGACACCCGGAACTGCTTTAAATTGTGAGCAAAATTCACAAAACCTCATCAATGTGGCCTCCTGCAAGTGTGAGTGCACTTTTGAAATCACAGTTTTAGTTGGTGACAATTTGAAATCACAGTTTTATTTGGTGCCAATGTATCAACACGAATTAATAATCATATAAAGAATAATAACAACGTTGTGATAGACTCAAAGGTCATACTACTGTACCAACACGAATGTAAAGGTAAGGGAGTTGATGACTGATCCTTTCTTCTGAGCATGGCTCCAAATTCAAATTAAGGTCACCCGAACGGGGAAAAAAGTCTGCTTGGTCATTTATAATCGCTATGGTGCAATGAAAAACAATACGCAAAAACAAATGATTCAGAATGTTTATTTAGTGTACCGCAAAGACAGTATATGGCGCCCGACCCAACATCCTCACCTCCCATTGGACTGGATTAGAGCAAAGCAATTCATGATTGGACAGGCAGCATTGGCTCTTCCGTGTCGAACAACATCTCCGAGGTCGACTGTCCGAATTGCTGGTCAACAGGTAACCATTGGTGACTCTCTGTAAACACTAAAACTGATTTATTTAGTCATTTTAACAAGGTAGATGATTAAATGATACATTGTATTGTTAGCAGAGTTCTTCTGTCAGATGTAGCGATTACGCGTTCATTTAGGTTTTTCCACCAACAGCATCGTCTGCTGAAAGGCACAAACGCTTCCAATTTCAACGGAAATGTGCATTCAATAATAAAAATGCATTTAGCCACACAGCCTCGTCTCAATTATTGATATGTAGTTATCTTGGGTCGAGAGTTAAAGTGGTAACAAGCGATGTTAACACGTTCTCTTTCCAAGCGTTCTATACTTAGCATTTTTGCTCGATATATTAAATCTGCAGTCTGCTTGAATTAACACCGAAATTTATTCATGGTTACTTTTGTGTTTTACCCCCTTTCCAAACCAGTGAGGACAACACGAGTCACAATGTCTTTCAGAGATTTGAGAAGTAAGCTGTCCTCGTCATCTGCTACTTACACACCAGACTCAAGAAGTGTATATGTGGTATTTTTGCACTCGTGAATGGGTTGTCACATTTGTTAATTTTCAACACCTTTACAACGACAGATTTTACAGAAATGATGAGAGCTTTGGGCTATCCTCGCTTGATTTCGTTGGAGAATTTCAGAACACCTAACTTCAATCTGGTGGCAGAAATCATGATATGGCTCGTTAAAAGGTACATTCTTGTCTATCAGTTCCGTCAGGCCTATCCAAGTACCTGTCCACTGATCCATACAGTCTCCTCCCATGTAATTTAAAACAGTCATTATCTAACAGAAGATTTGCGGTGCTTGGTTGTTTGCGTTCACATTCGATGTGTGGACTGACACTCATGACAACTGTGTTAACAAACAATCAGAAAGTAAAGTTGTTTTAATACTGTACATCCCCCTTCAAGAAACATTCTGTCATTTTTCCCCCATCCCAATTGTGTAGATATGAACCTCAGATGGATATTCCTACAGATGTGGACACAGAGTCAGACCGAGTATTCTTCATAAAAGCCGTGGCTCAGTTCATGGTAATGTGTTGTCTTTAGCAAATAAAGCAATGTAGTTGTACTAGTTGTTTTAACACAATGCAATGTAGAACCTGCTGCTCACCTCATGTCTGTCCTTGATGTAGGCAACCAAAGCGCACGTCAAGCTGAACACCAAGCGCCTCTACCAGGCTGATGGCTACGCAGTGAAAGAGATGTTAAAGATCACGTCAGTGCTGTACAGTGCAATGAAGACCAAGCAGATGGGCCTGGAAGATAGAGTCGAGGAGGACAGCATCAAGTTTAAATTTGACATTGGTTCACGGGTAAGCTGATAATTAACATATATGAGGTCATTGTGTATATTGGGCCTGTTGAGAGGAAACCGTCAGCACACAGGTGCTGCTCCAGCAAAAAAAAAAAAAAAATACAACAAAAAACAGGTGACTTTGGACAAATGTATTTTAACAAGATCTAAAAAATAAATATAAAGTATTAGAGCAACATGAAGATATAACAGATTTTCTTTTTTTGTGAAGAATAAACACCAATTGAGGCACAATCATGAAGGGGAACAAAATTGATGAAAAATGTACTTTTTTTTTTAATTAAAAAATAAAAAAGTAGCACATGCAAAATTATTCACCCCCTTGAGTTAATACTCAATGACAATAAAGGGGCCGAATAATATTGCACGCCGCGCTTTTCATTTTTTTTATTTCTAAAAGAAGTTTAAAATATTGCAGGAATTTTGTTGCACTTCACAATTGTGTCCCACTTGGTGTAGATTCTTCCACTCCAAAAAATCCAATTTCATATCTTTGAAGCTTGGAATGTGACAAAATGTCAAAAATTTCAAGGGGCTGAAAACTTTCGCGAGCCGCTGTATTTTTAGTGCAGTACAATATTCGCATATTCTAAGATTTTCAACTTTGTATTTTTTGTATAGCTTCAGACCTCTCAAAGCTACAATCACGATAAAAAAAAAATCTAATTATTTTAAAATGAATACATTTGGATATAGCTGTATTCTAAGATGCATGTACGCAGTGATGCACTGATGTACATTCTCTTCGGTTGTTATTGTTTTACTAAGTCTCCTTGTGTTTTCCTGTTAGATTTCTGACCTCAAGGCAGCTCGGCAGCTAGCGTCAGAAGTCACGTCGAAAGGAGCATCTTTGTTTGATTTACTGGGCAAGGAGCTGGAACTTAGGGTGACTAGAAACATACAGTAATTAAATGATTTTGAGTCCTTATTATCTTCAAGAATGTGAATGTGAGTGTACCGGTATATGCATTATGTTTAGGAAAAAAGAACTGCAGCCATTGCAAGACCTCTGGAGATCGATGTGACCGAAAAGGCCCTGAGAGTAGCCATCAGGGAGGCCCTAGTCAGTATTACTTTTCTGTTTTACTATATTTTTAGATTCATCAATTGACATTTATTGTGTTTGTTCTCAAGGAAACAGTGGAGAAAACCAAAGAGATGTTGAATAGCATTGTTTCTGATGAGGCCAGCCTGGATGCCAAGATAGAAAAGAAGAAACAGGAGCTGGAGAGGAGTCGGAAGAGACTTCAGACACTGCAAAGTGTGCGGTCAGTTAACACTGTTGCCACAAATTAATCGGACAGCAGAGCCCTCTGTCACGGAGCATATGTGTCAATGTTTTTCATTGGTGTTGGGCCCCAAATGTGGACACAAAGTCCGATTACAGTGGCTTCACACATATTTGAGTTGACCATTAACAAGGTATTGATCAATTCTGTTGCTATATAGTATGTTGATGAGCCTGTCAGCTAAAATGTTCTTTTCATTGTGGAGTTTTATAATGAATGATGTAGCCGATTCCTTGAACGTGCCCTCTGTGTACAGTTGTCACTGTAAGAGATCAAATTAAAAATGACACTTTTTGCTCTGCATTTTCCCAATTCTTTGTTAAACCAAAGTTTGAGTGCTCATCGGAACAGAAGATATACTTAAACATTTCTCTTTCATGTTGTGTTAAGACCGGCGTTCATGGACGAATATGAAAAGATTGAAGAAGACCTGCAGAAGCAGTATGAGATCTACGTGGCAAAGTTCAAAAACCTTTGTTTTCTGGAGTCTCAGCTAGAAGATTACCATAAACTGGAGCAAGAGCGGTTTGAGGTGGGTGATTGTATTTTAATGGTATGATAACCGTGAGCAAAAATATGGCAGAATCACGGTATTAAAAATACAGCACAATAAAAACCTAACAATTATATGGACCAAATATGGAATATTTGCTACATTAAGACACATGTATCAAGTTGACTTAAAATAAATCGATATTAACATTCATCTTCAGTTTAGATTCTTCATCCATCTCTTATCTAAATCACTCTATCCTCACAAGCATCATGGGTGTGCTGGAGCCTATCCTAGCTGACTTTAGGTATGAGGCGAGGTACACACTGAACTGTTGCCAGCCAATCGCAGCACACACAAAAACAAACAACCACTCACAATCACACCAAAGTACTGTTTGGAATGATCAAATAACCTAATGTGCATATTTTTGGAATGTGGGACCAAACCAGAGTACCCGAAGAAAACCGCCACAGATATGGGGAGAACATTCAAATTTCACACGTGGCCAGGGCCTGGAATCGAACCCCGGACCTCTGCACTGTGAGGCGGATGTGCTAAGCAGTCAACTACCGTGTCGCTTCAGTTTAGATTGATAAGAATAAATTAATATGAACATTCTTCTTTAGATTCTCGCCATCAGTGGTGTGCTATTGTTAGAACAGACCCGCTGACTACCACAGCTTGGCTCTGACCAGTCTATGGCTCCGGAATGTCTAAAATGTTATTTATCTACAACCTCCGAGGAGGCCTGTATGTTTTTAGATGCATTCTCAAAACATACCGGAATTCTAAACGTCATGTAACATCCATTTGTTTTCTTATTTCGTTTTAAAATGTGCAGCACAGTGTAGTAGTGGTTAGGGGAGAGCACTAAGTCAAAAGATTCAAATCTCGGCTCAGGCCCTCCTGTGTGTGTTTTACATGTTCACCTTTTATTTGATGGCTTACCACGGCTTCCTCCAACATTCCAAAAACATGCACATTGGGGTAATTGCCAACTCAAATCTGTCCATCGATATAATGAGTGAGTTGTCCGAATGGTTGGCTCTGTGTGCCCTGCAAATGACCGGCAACCAGCCTCAAGTGTAGCCTCTTCACGCAAAGTCAGCTGGGAAAGGTTGCAGCTTATTTGCGACCTTAATTAGGACAAGCATTACAGAAAATGCATAGAAGGATTTAGTTTAAAATTACTCGCCTGCTAAAAAGTGTGTGTGTCTCACCTTTCTTACTCGCTCCCTGTATGTTGTCCATTTTTTTCCCCTCGCAGGAGGCCGAAAACACCCTGAGGATGATGCAGCAAAATCTGAAGGAGGAGGACAGGGATCTAATGAGGAGCTCACGTGAGAACTGGAAATAATTTTAAAATGAATAACATCCAAGCTGCTGCCACTAAAGTGTCATGTTGCGTTTGTTCTATGAAATTTGTTTCAGTGAAAGATGTGGACTCTGACATGGATGTTCTTGAGGATGAAGGTGACATGGACAGTGAATTGGAAGAGTCACGGCCCTCCAATCCACGACCCACTCGAAATGGCTTGATGGCTGCTAAACAGATGGGCGATTTGTTCAGTATGTCATCTTGAGCTGTTTATTTGTGGAGCATTGATTTAACTTGCGCTGTTCTGTGGGTCTGTATCTGATGCTTTTTATTTGATCATCCCAGATGCAAGTTGCAACAGTCAAGAGTATACATACTTTATGATATGTCCGAACTATTACTTATAATATGTACACTGGTATATTTGTTTTTCTTTCAGGAAGAGGAACACGATTCATTGGGAACATGCAGGGCGGTGACAGTGATGAGGTAAACATTTTCACAAACATATATGGTACTTACAGCTACTATCTCTGTCCAAAGAGCAGTCTTTCTTTTAAAGGTTTTGTTTTTAGTATCTCACCCATCTCTTTGCACTCACCTTTGTATTTAAAGCCAACAATAGCCATTTCCAGAAGGCCAAAACAACCAAAAAGACAGGTTTGTACTTTGTACAGGGTCATTGCCTAGTTGATTCTTATAGCTTTTTGTGTATTAAAATTAGATCGCCCACCCTGATATTTTCCATCACTGGATCATCTAGCTTTTATAACCTAAGATTTGCCATATAAGATTTTCCTTTGAAATTAGTATACAGCTTAATTTCCACTTGTAGTTCAAGTATATTAGCAAGAATCCTTATCTTTAAGAGTATATTCTTTCGGTTTTTAGTGTGTTCCCTGTCATGATACAACTATGAAAACTACGTGGCGCTTTTGTAATGCCTTTTCTGTCTTTTCTCTATTTTAGTCAGAAGACAGCGAGATAGAGGTGGATGAAGACGACGAAGAGGAAGACGGCGAGGATGAGAGCAAATTAGACGATGACAGCTTGGAAGACCATGTGGCTAGAGCAACACACACGTCTAGGGGACGCACGAGACCTCCTCTTTTCGATGAAAGCGACAATGACTTCTGAATTATAAACATGCCTATTTTTACTCAAATACAGAGGTGGTAGTCATATATTCAATTTTATATTGTAGCTCATTTTAAAATGATTAACATTCTATTGACTTGTAATATGAGGAATTTGTTGGGGGTGCAACAGAGCATGAATGTACAATAGCTCTTGATATTTGTTATTTATCTTAATAAATTGTTTAGTTCTCTCTACCTTTAACTCCAATTTTGATGCTCTTTATTATACACAGGTTTAACAAAAACAAACCAAATGTGCTACTTTAATCCGTTTTCTATTCCAGCAATCCAGATTTGGATAGCTCCGAAGCAGATACAAGTTTACCTGAAAGATCATGGCTTACTTAAGTATAACTTTCAAATTTACTTTTCTATGTCGGTCAGGTAATGTTTGATAGCAAATACACTTAATTAAAAACTCCTGAAATTTCAAACTGGGCATGTTTGCATCGATGCATCAGATATTTTCTGGGGGTGGCTATTATCTATTTATGAGCTATAGCCCACCGTGAATTCCTTTAAATAATATTTTATCCACATCACTTAGAACCATACCTCGACTCGTTGATTCAGTGGGAAAGGTCTGAGACGGTTTACCATTCCTGAGGGTGATCTTTGTACAACATTGGCACACCAGTCTTTGTGACGTTTTTTTTTTTTTTTTGGACGTATTGTTTATTGCCTCGTTAAAGGTTAATGTACTCGCATTATTGTAATTGGTATTGGTTGTTCATTTAGCGTTAAACTGAAATGAGGGAGGAGGGATACCCGGAGCATTGCATGTTGCTGTTGAGAAATTACACCCCTCTCTCTTATCTGTTTTTTGTTAGATTGCTGCAGGCTGCAGGACAACTCTCACCTCTTCTACAAAGCTTTTTTTTGTTTTTTGTTTTTTACCCACAAGTACAGATGACGACTGACGGAATCCTTTCTACAAAGCACAAGTAAACACAGCATTTGGTTCGCCTTAAACCGTTATCAAATTATTAATAAACCTTTGTCATTAGCTGTAAGGAAACATATAGGCGTTCTTTCCTTCAAACATGATGCTTTGCGATTGTATTTGCATTCCAGAAAATACAACAGTTTTACTTTTAAAATGTGTCATTTGGTGACAGGATATGACGTTAAAGTAACCTCGTTGGATATAAATGCGTCATCAGAGTGCGTCGACAGGCTCTGGCACATACCCAAACGAAAACAAGATCTGCCGTCTAGTTACAACCTGAATTTCGTCGGATACTGGTATGATATACTAAGTATCTGTACATTTTCATTGTTGTAGAAAATATGAAAGAAGAGTGACAACAACAACAAGCTTGACGTGTTTTTTCAGTTTTCATCCGTCAGCACTAGCAATCGTTCCTTATCGACACTTATGAAAGGAACTATTGTCCCAATTTGTAAGAAAACGAAAGCATATATTATCGGTCAGTCCGACTGTTTCGTGGGCTATATCTTTAGAAAAATGTCCGTTATTATTTTGTCACAATGCCACTGCCCATTCCTGCTTTCGGTTTTTAACCTGTAACGTTGATCGACTTCATTCAATAGGGATGCTACTACATGATGAAATATATAAACACCTGTACGATATAATTGCTTAATTTACTAATATTTTAAAGATACTTTTTAAATGATAGCGTGGTCTCATTTCATGTCAGCTGAACGACGGCTGCTGGGATGCCGAAGAAATTCCAGGGTGAGAACTCCAAGGCGGCCACAGCCAGGGCCCGCAAGGCTGAGGCTAAGGCAGTGGCGGATGCGCGCAAGAAGCAGGAAGAGGATGATGCCCTGTGGCAGGAAACTGACAAACATGTACTAAAAAAAGAGCAGAGAAAGGTAGGCACCGACCCTAATCTAATCTAAATGCCATCCTGTCCATGCTTCATGACGAGTTTCTCAACAGTTCTGCAAGAATCAGATGATGTGCAACTGTAAAATTATTTACTGCCTTTGCAGGACGATAAGGAGAAAAAGAGGATTGAGGTATTGGAGAGGAAAAAGGAATCCCAGCGCCTCCTTGATGAGGAAAATGCCAGGATAAAAGGCAAAACCCAGAAAGAGGGTGGAAGTAGTGGAAAGGTGACCCGAGCCCAGATAGAGGAGGCTATTCAGAATGTCCCGCAGCCTCAGCAGCTCAAGCCAAAAGGTTAACTTGAATACGATGTGCAAGTTCACACAAAGACAAAACTTTTTTTGCCCCTGGAAAACCAGTTCATCTAACATAACCTAACATCTTGAAATAACGAATTCCATGTTGAATCCACAGACAAGAGCCATCTGGAGGTTCCACTGGAAGAAAATGTAAACAGAATTATTCAGGAGGAAGGAACAGTTGAAGCTAGAACAGTAGAAGATGCCATTGCTGTGCTGAGGTAACAATCGTTTTGATACATATTGTACAGTAAAATCAATATCGACAGCATCCTTTTAGGCTGCTTTCATACCTCACTTGTTTATTCTGATTCAAACAGTTAATGGTTTTGTAAAAGTTTGTGTCTTTCCCCCTATTTTGCCTAATTCTCACATGGTTAAAAAGTAAGCGAGAATTTAAACCAAAATGCATCTGAGGAAACCATGTTGCAGTGCCTCTCTTCTCTCATTGGTCTGTTGTGGGAGCAAGACTATAAACAGGAAGTATTGTTGCAACAGTGAAGGTAACATGGACATAAGTTGTCCTTTACAGTTACATCGAACACGTCTTGCAATCTCATGCAATACTCACATGAGGCTATCGTACCGATTCAGGTAGATGTTGTCTTAATCAAACAATTACTACTATGATTTTAAGATGTGCTGCAAACAATTGAAATGCTATCGACATACAGTAGAGGTTAAACACAACCTGTGGTGTGACACTTGTTGACTTCCAGCTTTGCATTACACATGAAGGAAATTACATGAAGGGGTTCCCACATAAAAAAAAACAAAACATCAAATTATGTATGCCACAATTATTAGCACCCCTGATGTTAATACTTTGTACAATCCCCTTTTGCCAACAAAAGAGAAACTAATAATCTCCTATAATGTTTCAAAAGATTGGAGACGACAGAAGGACATGAGGATTGTTCGATCATTACTCTTAACGCAATCTCTCTAAATCATCCAACCACCTCAGTCCTTTCCTCTGCACTCTCCTCTTTAGATAACTCCACAGATTTAAACTGGGGTTGAGGTCTGCTTACTGAGAAGGCAATGGGAGGAGCTTGATTCTGTTTCGTGTCGACCATTTCTACCATTTTCAGTATGAGAGTATGCCTCAGTAATAAAAATGTAATTTATGTGAAGACTTCACATCTTCAGGGTTCCCAATAATCATGGAAGGACACTGTACGTGTAAAACTGTAGATGCATTCCGTCAGTCAAAGCAGATGAAAGTCTGTTTGCAGTGTTAACACAATCAAATTCCGGTTATGTGGGGTAGTACCGAGACCGCCTCTTGTAGATGGTGTTAGACCTGAGTTCGATTATTATATCACACCATACCAAACAAAATGCATCAAGCGCGCAACAAACTAAAGTTTGATGAAAGTGGACTTAAGGGTGCTAGCATACACCCACATATCAAATTTTAATGTAGATACACATGATTGTGTGTGTGTGTGTGTGTGTGTGTGTGTGTGTGTGTGTGTGTGTGTGTGTGTGTGTGTGTGTGTGTGTGTGTGTGTGTGTGTGTGTGTGTGTGTGTGTGTGTGTGTTCTGCATTGCCTGACGTTCGCCAGACATATACATTTCTTGTCCCCATCCAATTTTGGACAAGTTCAAAGTTTTGGGGGGACAAGAAAAACTGTTTGTGAACATATTTGGAACATTTTGCAACCTTGGATGAACTCTGATGAAAAACTAACATTCGGACCATGCGCAAATACTCGCCAACCTTTACCGCTCAGTGAAATAAGGGCTTTAGGAGTTGCAATAAAAGCATGTTTCATGTTGCCAAAACTCCTGTTTCAGCATTGCACCTGAGGACCTGGACCGCCACCCGGAGCGCCGGATGAAAGCCGCTTTCACGTCGTTCGAGGAGGCCAACCTCCCTCGCTTGAAGATGGAAAACCCCAACATGAGATTGTCTCAGCTGAAGCAGCTCTTGAAGAAGGAATGGATGAAGTCTCCCGAGAACCCTCTTAATCAAAAGTGTGCTGCGTACAACTCGAAGTGAAGGCAATGACTGTGCCCCTTTCCCATCGGCGCTCATCTCCCATTGGAAAGTGGGTTATGCACCTTGGAGACTTTTAGTGCAAGATCGTATTCATTAAAAATTGAGTGTTGCTTTCAAGAACGTTATTGGTCACGATCTGACTTTAGCCCTTTTCACACTGCCTTTCCATAAAATGGACGTGTCAGATGCGGAAGGCGGGGAGAACATTTATCCGCCTATGCCTTCCATTCATAACACACCGAAGCAGAACATTTCCGACAATTAATGCTTACAAAAAAATTGATGCGCAGCAATGTCGGTGCCTGCCTCTGGTGCGACGTCCTAAATGCTTGTTGAAGAGTGCCATCAAGCAAGAGTCTTGGGTGTCACACTCTGGTCCCGACTAGCCGCTATCCTCTGATGCATCTTTTACTTGTCAATAAGAAACTGGAAAATTTGCGGTTCAATTTCAATCCCCCACCCCTCCCATTTGAAAGATGAGAAATAGCCGAAGTTGATGGGCAGTGCGAAAGGTGCTTGGTCAAGCAGAATTCTGTTTCTGTGTAAGACTAACCATGAAATCACTTTCACATGGCATTGTTTTAACACACTTAGGGAATTAGAGGTTTGACTTCATCTGCTTTCACATTAACGTGTGAAAGCAGAACATCAGATGATCTCTTCCTTCAGTGTAAAGGTGAGGGCGTGTTAATATTATGCGTGATTCTTATTTACAAAGGAATGTCCCGATTCAGCCGGCAAATTGTTTTTAAGTTCAGTCATCAGCTTTTGTTGTTCACCCTTGATTGACACCTTGTGTTTGAGTGGCTGAATTGAGCATCCCTTATCTGCTCAACCAGACTGTGGCCATTAGTTTGCTGTGATTTTGAAGTCTCATTTTCTCTGAGATTAAAGTGGATGATGATATCTGAGCTAATTCTGCTATATGAATCTCTTATTTACCAGTCATTTAATTTATAAAAGCTGCAATGGAACATCTTAGTTTAAAAGACTGCGCGCTCTCTTCTAGTGCCACCAAATTTGCCTGTAAAAAAGATTTTGCGTGTGTCTTTGTATTCAAACATTGAAGGAAACAGTATTTTTCTGAAGAACAAAACAATTCTGAATGTTTTTTTTTTTTAAATTTCGTCAGCTACTACAGTGTTACTGTCACTGACAAAAGGATTTTTGTGTTGTTTTGACAACACTGCAACGTTCACATCGAAAGCTGATGAGGCAGCAGGCTTTGTAGCTCTGCCTCACGCCAAGTGTCTGAGAATGAATAGTAATTTTCAAGTTTAAGGAGTGTTTTGATGGTTTAATATTGGTGCTAAGAAAGTTTGACATTAAAGTTGTTTGCCGAAAATAACACTGAAAATGTTGTATTAATTGGAAAACAGCGGAGAAAAACTTTTGGGTCTCTGAATAATTAAAGTATCATTTTGGGTGAAGAAACCCAACCAAACCTCAAAATGAAAACATTTTATGCGCCTGTATATCTGGTGTTGTAGTTTGGGGTTTATCGCTCAGTGCAAATAGCTGTGTTTGCGGTAACATTTGCTCATAGCGAGCCTGCCTTGCTCTCACCCATCTGATGGATTCACAAGGTGATTTAATAATGGGACACTTTTGTCCAGCCTTACGCTTGTGCCGGGGCAGATAAGAAGAGCCTTTGAACTGCTGAGAAGCAATGACGAGCGCAACTGATCTTTTATTTGCCGCTTCCCTTTGAAAGCAAGGTGGTTCTGCTGATCAGTGGAAACGCTGATGTCTTTGAGGTTGGACTTGTGATCTTACACTTTCAGAGTCTGTCCACTCTGATGGACGTTGTAGTTTGCATCATAACCGCCTACTCCCATGCATTTGCATGTACAACCCTTTACCAGGCCAGCTGCCCCTTTCCTTTCTTCACACTGAATTCTAATCATTACTTTCAAAGGAGACCGACTCCAAAGTACCATCCACAAGTGTGCCCATAGGAGGAAGCGCTCCCTCCCTCGTCTCCTCTTAACACTTTGGTTCTGGAGCACTTCCAAGCAGGAACCCTCCACTACTCTGCAGAAAAAATAACGAGACGGTAAGGATTCTTTTTCTTCTTGGGGAGGATATTGGTGTGTTATATGTCAAAGCCAATTTAAAAATGTTACTGAAACTAAGAGGTAGGTACCACCTTTAGTGGATTTTATTGATACCACAGCTACTGTCGTTTTGTGTCATTGTTCATACAGACAATGCATGTGTATGTATATAGTAGAAGGAAAAATTGTGGGATATATATATATATATATATATATATATATATATACACACTGTATATCATATATGTATATATACCATATATGTTTTTTGCATGCTGTGATGGTTAAAAGTAGAACTTGGTGTGCGTATAATAAATGCAATAGGTCCTTTACTTCCACTGTGTTATCATGTCTGCTGGACAGGGATAGCATGAGGCTGATTCTGGTTAAGCCCACCAATGCAACCCGACGCCTCGACTCAACAGGTCAAGTATTCCGTGATGACCGTGAGGGTTGCACCTCAAGAGGTCAGTCACACCCGACGAAAAATCCTGAGGGGATGCCTGAACAATACTCAGAAACACTCATGGAGGTGACTTCACCAACACAGGAGACAAAACTCTGTTGTGCTGCTTCAGTGCCGCATGAAACTTCCAATGGAGTCATTCCATCCCCAAAAGTTTCCCTTCAGATGTCTCCGCAGCAAACTGAAAGCGTGACCATTTCTCAGATAAAGAATCAGGACTGGCTGCTGCTTTGTGGCCAGGTTAGTGGTGAAGGAGCCGATTCATCCTCAGTTCAGAGACCAGGCACGGGTATGGATCATCCAAAGAATGACACACGTGCTTGTTCCTGTCCAAGTGCAGATCAGCAACATTCAGAAGCGTCTATCTTTCAACCTCAGTCAAATCACATTTCACTTCAAGGTTGTCTCTTGCACAAAATAAGCCATTCATCCTCACCCCACTCACAGTTTTTCTCTCCCAGCACCCGCATTTCTGACGATCACCAGGTTTTTCCACATGGAAAAATACAAAGGGACCTCCTGAAACCTGCAAATAAGAATTTGCATGGTAGTTTCATGCCTCAGGGCAGCAACCAACAAACACAAAAGACTCTTTCGCAACAACAAACTTGCAGTCATTTCAAAGATGCCAATTCGAACTTCAACATCCCTCTGTACGCCAATGATTGTGCCGAGAAAAACAAGAAACTCATCCAACATTCTCTGCCTGCCGGGAGTGGCGAGCCCAACTGGAGGGAGATCTTTCAGGATTGTGAAAAGCAACACGCGTGTTTCTCTGTCAGCGCTGGCGAAACCTGGAAGCCCCACAAAGATCCTCCCATCATCCTCCAGTGTCACCATCTCTCATCCAACCCTATGATCAGGCCAGCTCGCCTCAAGAGGTCCTCTATGCCAGCCATGAACCGCAGCGTGCAGTCCTTCTCCACCAGTTTGTACAGCTCACTTGATCATCAAGACTTAGCAGAGGAGGCAACGAGAACAACATCTAGTCAGGTGCACAATTATTTTCAATCACATGAACTTATTATATTTTTGAGCTTTGAACTAGTTGAGGGGCCACTCACCTTTGTGAAACTGAGAGCCACTTCTTGATTGTGATTAATTCAAAGGGCTACCAATTTCATACATACATTAATTTGCATCCATTTGCTTTAATTATGTTTTTATTGATCGTAACATTATTCTCCGTGAAAATGTGAATCATTTTAATTATTTCTCACAATAATTATCAAGTCAATTCAGCTTTATTGTCAAATATGCTCTCTCTACATCATACAGCACAGATGAAATTTCTTTCCTCTCAACCACAATGCAAACATCCAGAGCAATGAAAACACACACGGCTAAAAATAAGGGCAGCGAAACTTATCAAGGATTTAACAGCATAAAAAAACGCAAACATCAGTTTACACCGCTTTATTCCTAGACACAGAATCTGTGCAAGTGTATATATTTTTAAATAATCACTTTGACAACATTCCTAGGAAATTATAATGTCCCACCACTGGTGACTAACTTTTAGTTAACTCGCAAGTTGCCCATGTACAAACAATTGATCTCATTAAATAATTATGCGATTTATTGTGGAGGCATGGTCGTCGACTTGTTAGCACGCCGACCTCACCGTGCAGAGGTCCAGGGGTTCGATCCCGTGTGGAGTTTGCATGTTCTCCCCATGACTGCGTGAGTTTTCTCAGGGTACTCCGGTTTCCTCCGACATTCCAAAAAACATGCGTGGCAGGTTAATGAAACACTCGAAATTGTCCCGAGGTATGATTGTGAGCGCGAATGGTTGTTCGTCTATGTGTGCCCTGTGACTGGCTGGCAATTGGTTCAGGGTATACCACACCAATGCCGTCAATTAGATATGAATACATAAATATGATGTAAATAGCCTGTATATATTTATTGTACATGATATTTACAATCTTACACTACTCACAAAAAGCTAGGGATATTTGGCTTGTTGAAATATTGTTTAATGGCTGGCACATAAATGACCAGAGAAGCTTGCCAACAACATGTTTACTGATTCTTCTCAGTTACATGTCTGCCATGCATTTTCAATGGTGGGTTCTTCCACATTAAGTTCTAATTTGATTGGAGTGTCTTATGAAAGGAGAACTTCTCAGCCAAAATGGGTCTCCCTGAGACAGTCAACGTTAGACTACACAAAATAATCCCACCCCCTGTGTACCGGCTGTCCTTTCTTTCGCAGAAAAACACTAAGCATCTCAGTGGATCCCAAATTTCACCTCCAAAGCATGTCACTCCCCCTGAAGTCGCGGGAAGCGGCGTCCTTGGCAATGGCAATGCTGTGGGTTCACTGGTCAGCCATGAAACTGTGACATCCAATTTGAATGAAATCCAATCAGGCCAGCAGCTTTTTCACAGCACCCTCTTGGAAGAAGCCTTCTCCAAAGTCATCAGAGAGGATTCAAGTAAGGCCATTTGTGACAACGCCACCAGAGAAGAAGGTAGCGTACCCCAGAGGAAGGACATCAGCTTCAGACTCGGTCAGCGCAGAGCTCTTTTTGGCAAGCGCAAACAGCTGAGTGACTACTCTTTAGTCTGTGGAATGTTTGGCATTCTTGTCATGGTGATTGAGACTGAGCTGTCTAGAGGATTTTACACCAAGGTATTTCAATCCCCCACCCCTCAATAAATAGCAAATTTAATCTGTGAAATATTTAGTGTGAACTACTCGCACTGTCTTAATGCATTTCTCCTCTTTCGCAGGAGTCCATCTATTCATATGTACTGAAAGGTCTGATCAGTATTTCTACTGCTATTTTACTTGGTCTTATTCTCATGTACCATGCGAGGGAAATCCAGGTAATTAGATGAACATACTGTATTGTGGGTTTATCTGTGGGCTATTTTTCTAACTGTTGCTAATTTCATTTTATTAACTTTATTCTATTGGGAAGTGATTCATGTTTCTTTTTTCAAAGACCCCAAAGTTCCCTGACGTTCAAATACAGTATCGATTTTTTTGAGGGGGGTGCAAAGGCAACTGGTATAGGCTCCATCTTACTCATGACTTTAATGGGGACCAGTGCGATAGAAAATTGATCATGGATTTACTACTATAGTAGAGTAAGTAGTAAATCCATGATCAATTTTCTATGTGGTTTGTATAGTAACTATATAAACCACATTTAAAACCACAGTGCAGCAACTCTTCATTAAGTGCAATGGACCACGAGATGATGTTGGTGTTCTTTCTCCATTGTCATTATTTTAAATTCAATACAGATCCAGAATTCTGTTGTAAAATTCGGGTATATATATAACTTAATTGCTGTAGTGCTGTTTTGTATTAATTCTGTCTGATATACTGTTCCAAATAACCAAGTAGATATATTTTTTCAATGGCCAGCGGGACGGCAATTCCATCCTGAAATGAATATGAGAACGTATGTATGACTATGTGTGGAATGACTGGAAACATATCATTTCCAAATCTAAAATCTTAGTTTTACAATAAATTATTTTGTATTAAATGCTAAAATTCACCTCATGCTACTGCTACTGTTGGAACCTTGGAAATGTAAGTATATGAGTAAAACAGTCACCTCTTTCCTTCAGCTCTTCATGGTGGACAATGGTGCAGATGACTGGAGGATCGCCATGACCTTTGAGCGAGTTCTCTTCATTGTGTTGGAGCTTCTCGTGTGTGCCATCCATCCCATCCCGGGTCAATACGTGTTCAGCTGGACTACTCGACTGGCATTCAACTACAACACATTGGTGGCGGACGCTGATGTCGACATTATCCTGTCTGTACCCATGTTTCTGCGCCTCTACCTGATTGGCCGGGTCATGCTCCTCCACAGCAAGCTCTTCACAGATGCTTCTTCACGCAGCATCGGGGCGCTAAACAAGATCAGCTTTGACACTCGTTTTGTCATGAAAACTCTGATGACAATCTGCCCTGGCACTGTTCTACTCGTGTTCAGCGTATCCTGTTGGATTATTGCAGCATGGACTGTGCGCATCTGTGAGAGGTAAACCTCTATTTCCTACTTTCTTTCCTACGCATTGTACATGGTGCGAAATTCAGCTGTATTCTTAAAAGGTGGTATTATGTTCCAAAAGGTATCACGACACACAGGAGGTGACCAGCACCTTTCTAGGAGCAATGTGGCTGATCTCCATCACCTTTTTGTCCATCGGTTATGGTGATATGGTGCCTCACACTTACTGCGGAAAAGGAGTCTGCCTGCTAACAGGCATCATGGTAGGATTCAATTCATGACCACCATTCACCAGAAGCGGGAATTGTTGTTACCCTTCCATTCAAGACAGAAAAAACCACAAAGGCCACTGAAAACTGTCAAAAGCAAAAAATAATAACAAACACTTAGTGAAAACTAAGCCTTGGAAATCTCATGAGCTGCAACTGATGCCAGCTTTCTGACAAGTGGCAGCACATTTCTGTCAAGAAAGCCTTGATGGTTTTGAGAGTTCATTGTATCGCTGCACGAATTTAAGACACCACCTCATGTAGCAAAGCAGCCCCATAACACAACCAAGCCTTTTTGATGTTTCACCATACTTTGTACATGCCGACCATAAATTCACACTGCATGCGGAGGCGGTGTGTGCAGAGGGCCCGTTGTTCGATGGGCTCCACAATAAGGGTTGACTCTTCACTTTTATGAATCAAATCCGCACACACTGAAGCATTCACATCGTAATTCGAATCTGCTTTGCGCACACCCTCATAATGCTGAAAACGTGTGGTGTAATTCTTGTTATGCATATTTATCTGCAATGAGACTAGCATTTTTTTCGCTTCTGTCCTTTCTGCTGTTTCCACTTACTTTCTTTAGTAAGATTGGCATTGTTTGTTTCAATGCATTCTGCCCGTGTTGAACACGCAGCGTTCGTTTAGTTTGAAATATTGCTGATAGTTCTCCAAATGAGACAATGTTGTTGCTTCAAGCTCTTTATTTGTCATTAATTTTCTCTTCAGTGTCTTCAACATCTCACTGCAATGTAAACAATCAACCAATTGCTACTTAAAAACTTAAAAATACAGAGACAACACGTATATAGAACATCTAACAATACTAACAAGAATATATTTGCTCTGTGGAAACAATTGAAACTTCTTAAGTTTAGTTTCAGCTTTAGTTACGCTTGTTTAATGTCTACTTGACATCATCAATCGAGTCTACCTGTGTCACACTACTGCCACCGACAGGTTGTGCACAGCAGAGGGGGCAGCACAGTACAGTATATGTTATAGCAGTGTTTTTCAATCTTTTTCGAGCCCATGCACATTTCTTTCATTGAAAAAAAAAATCCTGTGGCACACCACTAGCTGAAAATGTGAAAAAAAGCTTATTTTAACAATTAAAGTGTTATATTGTTATGGTAAGCGTTTTTGAACATTGAAGAATAACGTTGCATCTCTGGTAAAAGTAAATCCAAATGAGAGAAAGCTTTCGTTGTTTTGCCTTGCACCAGAAACTTTGCTTGTCTCGAAGCACAAGTCAATTAGCTAGCTGCTGCCACCTACCGGTATGGAAGAGTACTACATGATTACTCTGCCAGGCGATAGATCGTACAGGCAGGCATACAAATTGGATCATTTCCCACGGCACACCTGACAATATCTCTCGGCACACTGCCGCGGCACAGTGTTTGGAAAAACACTGTTATACGATGTTAATTATCTGGCAGTGCTACTCAACTGTGTGTGTGTGTGTGTGTGTGTGTGTGTGTGTGTGTGTGTGTGTGTGTGTGTGTGTGCGCGCGCGCGCGCGGAGTTGGGGAGGGGTGAAAAAAACTTTTTTTTTTCTTTAAATAAATAAAGTGGGTACGGTTATATACTGGTGTGCTAAACCAAATTGTATGGTTGCTTCATCCTCGTAGACCTCCAATGTGACACATCTCCACGCTGCAATAACTGAAGTACAGCTTCAAAACTTTCACACAGGTTCAAACCTATTGTTTGACTTTTGGCTTAGTCCCTATTAGTCAGTGGTAGCAACAGTAAGTTACTTGTGTGATATGTTCGGCACAGTTCTTACACTGGATGCCCTTCAGGATGCAGCCCACCCATGAAAATGGTTGGGAAAGATTCAAACTTATTAAATATATTTCAAATAAAATCTTTATTTTATATCCCCGCCAGTCGATTATTCGTGGAACTACCCATGCTGTGAACAGTGAGTCACAGTCCAATTATGCACTGCTCCTCTCTCAGGGGGCAGGCTGTACAGCTTTGGTGGTCGCTGTGGTTGCAAGGAAGTCAGAACTCACCAGAGCAGAGAAACACGTCCACAACTTCATGATGGATACACAGCTCTATAAAAAGGTCTGATGTGTTTTATATAAAAAGGTCTGATGTGTTTTATTTCCCAATGCAAATATCACCCATAATTATCTTAAAAACAATGAATTTTAATCCTGTTTTGCCCTCAGGTAAAAAACACTGCAGCCAATGTGTTGCGGGAGACCTGGTTGATTTACAAACACACCAAGCTGGTGAAGAAAGTTGATCGAGCGAGGGTACGCCACCATCAGCGTAAATTCCTGCAAGCTATCCACCAGTGAGTAAACGTGTCGCATCACAGATTCTAAGGTTCAGTCCTTGTAACTTGTACATGAAATACAGTGGGTAAATTGGTTGTCACTGAGTTTATCAAATGTTCATTTTACAAAATTTTATTCTCGCTGAACGATTCATGAAGTTGTAGGTGTACAAGTGTTCACACTATACAGTATATTACAGTAAGTCTCAAGTATGACAACAATATTTATTTTTAATGTTTAAGACTGCGAAAAGTTAAAATGGAGCAAAGGAAACTAACTGACCAGGCCAACACCATCGCTGATCTTGCCAAGGTACTCACACCAACAATAAATTTTACTTTTCTCAAAACATTTAAAGGGGACATGTGAGGTATTTTTAATCACAATTCAAAGCAGTATTGTAGCCATGTGTTTTAACACCAAATCTGCAACGTACTTTGGTCAAAATACACCAAGTATCAATAATTATACAGTAGTCTGCTTTGTACACCTTATTTAGTGCTTTGCCAAAATCAGAGTGTTTGAGGGTGGCCCTTTTTAAGTGAACCAGCCGTCAACCCACCACACATATTGCTGGGCCAATGGTGAATACAGAATTCATTACCATGAAGACAACAGACGGAGCAAGGAATGTCTGCATTTAGCTCTTCCCCCAAATTTAAACAAGCTTGTTGCAAACTCTCTCTCTCTCTCTCTCTCTCTCTCTCTCTCTCTCTCTCTGTATATATATATATAAACTTTTTTTTTTTTTTTTACAAACAACTGACAGTTTTTCGAACTACTGTATAGAACGTTTTGTCGACATTGCGGGTTTTGTCATGGAGAAAAAGCTGCACAGTGATGAGGCGCGGACACTGTTGACATGCGACAACAGTCCCTTAGTCAATCAGGATACAGAACACAATGCACTATAAAAAAAGTGCAAGAAAAAAAAATCCATGAAACAGCAAAGCCGTGAAAGATGAACCGTGTTATAGCGAGGGATTTCTGTATATACAGTATGTAATGGGGTTTCGGATGTCTGTGGATGGAGTGGAGTGAGCAGCAATGCATTCCGTCACTGCAGTTCCCATCTACTGCGTGTTGTCAAACATGGTAGATGACAAACATCTACCAATTATTTGGTTTGTTTTCAACCTGTTTGAGCAATCTGATGCATGATTTTTTTTTTTTTTTTTTTTTAATATCCGTAACAGACAGTATTTCAGAAGTCACGAGGGAGAGTTGAGTGATTTCCGAAACAAAATACGGACACTCTCTAACAGTTGGCAGCTCTGCTGACCACATCGACAACTGCACTGGGTAATCAATTAAGTGATGCTTATTATCAGAAGCTAGTGCTAGCCAACGTTACTCTGTGCAGCCCTGCTTACATTTTGGTTTTGATGCAGTTTTTCACCCTCTGCTTCCAAGCTGTACACGAATGTCATGTGCACTTTGCCACATCTGGCTAATTTATCACTTTAACTACCGACTACTTGAAGACAAACAATACAAATTTAATTTTCCATAACATGTCCCCTTTTAAAGCTGCTGTAAGTTTGCTTGTATGGCTTCATGATCAGTAAAGGGTTACGTGTCCACATTTTCCACTCTCTCCAGACTCAGAACATGATGTACGATCTGGTGTCGGACCTGCAGCATCGAAGTGAGGAGTTGGACAGGAGGATTATGGCCATGGAGGACAAACTGGACTTGATGCTTCTCAACATGCACTCACTGCCCGACGTGCTCTCTCAAGCAATAACAAAGATACAAAAAGATTTTCTAGATGACTTGGCCTGCCGTGTCCATTTTCTGTCATCCTCCTTAAGCTCCGAGTGCTGCTCTGTTCCAGCCAGGCCGCTCTGTCAAGGCCCCGCCTCATCAGAGACGCCATATAGCTGATTTGCCTCACCCTTTGGACAAAAAAAACAAAACAAAAAACAACAACAAAAACAAACAAAACACAATCAGAATTACCTCTTAATTTAAACTACAGAATGCACATTGCGTGTGACCTATTTGAATTGCAGTATCACCTTCACATTTCCCAATCATCCTAAATGCAGAACTGCAGAACGTGTAAATAGACAAACTAATATTTACCAGTACGTCCATTGATTATTTTTGAACCAAAAGCTTAGGATGAGAAGAAATGTTTAATACATTTCACCTCCTTGTGTTCATTGGCGATTCGGGTGAACAAATGAACATACAGTGCTCAACATGAATGAGTAAATAATAAGATTTCTATATATTTCTCAATGAATGTAAGAACAATCTTAATAATTTTGATGAGACTCACATTGAATTTTGTAATCTAAAATAAAGGGGTAGTTTTGAAACATTAATTGAATTTGTTCAAAAGTCCACATTTGTGGGCGTGTTTTATGGTAATTTGATATCGAAAATATGGATTCTGAAAGGAAATTAAATGCATTCTGCCACAGTGTACTCAGTTACATTGAGAACTGTGTACTGTATTATAATATTTACCATAACAGCAGCTTCAGAAATATTGTGATTATCCATTTTGATTGATCAATTTTGCCTTACCTTACTTATCAGGCACCTCGTTTTTTTTTGTGTGTTTTTTCATAGAGCAAGCAACCCAAATGTGGACAAGCAGGTCAGAAAACAGATTGATGAATGGAAGGTCTTCCAATAAAAAAATTCCGAAAGCTAGGAAAACAATTTTATTTAGCTTTCTTGTTTTTTCAGTCTTCGTTGTCTGAATTTGCAATTATGTTATGTATAATAAAAGTTTAAATTCGAATAAAGTGTACCTTTATTTTGAATGTTGTACTTGAAACTTTTATTAAGTTATTAAAAGGTCCATTTCGAATGGTGATTCATCTCTTTGTAGACCATTTTAATGCATTAAACCCAGAGTAAGGGCTGGACTGAATGCATATACTGTTACAATACTGTACATGTACAGTAACTGAACATTGTGGTTATTAACTTAAGGACATTGCCTATTTGTGGTCACTGTTTTACGTTATTATGTGGTGACTAAAATGAAAGTTACCCTCGTGTGATTCGACATTACACAAAAATAAGGAACGATTTAGGCTATTTCAAACAATCAGGCATCCGACCACCTGACATAACGTTATAGCACAGAAATGGCACGATGTACTGACTGATAAGTACAGTCTTGCGAATTCTTTGTTTTTAGTTCAACTGTGAAGCGACACAGATGTGACTCTGAACTTAGAGTGACGGTTAAAACGTAGGCTTTGGACACCACACGAAGCAAGCCGCCATGATGTTGTTTACCACAACTAGAGCAAACCATTTCCCATGGCAGATTGAGGGCACCGCATCATCTCGCGATAAATGCTTGGAAGCGAGCTGCTCCCACGAGAATTACGTTTCGCGCGCTGAAACTGAGCGCCATTTACTCTGTCGATCGACGGCGCTTTTAACCAATAAAATGGAGAGAGCGTAAGCAAAGCAGCCAATAGTGAACAACAAACGTGAAATCAGGCGGGATATCAAAGTCTTGAAGAATTACTCATTGAAAGGAAGCCAACAAGCATAAGAGTTAGACTTGTTGGAGCTGTTGAGAAGTTACGGGACTTAAACAAGCAAGATCACCCGTTTCTCTTTTTTCACGTGGACAAACAGGTATGCTCTTGTTCATTGTAGGTTACTACTTTACAATTTGTTCTTGATATTTAAAGCCAGTACCGAGCATACAAACGTTAGCTAACTTGTCATACCTCGTTACTTGAGCATTGATCACAATGACTTACTACGGCGGACCAACCTGACACTTCGGACGAGTTTTCACTCCCATGCTGCGGCTTTTTGTCTAGCCGTAAAACGAAAGTGGCTGTCTATGCATGGCAAGATGCCCTAAAAACTTCGTGCTCTTGACTTTGTTGTAAGGTTAAGCCTCGGAATGACTGCGGGCGAATATACTCTGCTGTCGCGAGTTACTTTCTTGTGATGCTTACGGTTACTAACGATTAAGAATGCTGTAATGTAACGTAATGTACTGGATTCACCGCATCCATGCTTGTAGTCAAAGCGAAACAAATAGATCACTCTAACACGCAAGAGTGGATGCCAAGTGCACTACAAACATCCTGCGATGGGTTTTACACCAACAGCGGTCACTTGATTATTGTACTAAAAGGTTTTCATCGGTATAGAAGGTAATCTTTAGGTACGTTTCATTGTCAGGGCGACGCCACATTGTTTGCGAGCGCTCCCTCGCGTCCGGATGTGCTTGCTTTTAAAAGAACTGGGCGTGGTCTCAGTAGTTTCCCGCACTGTATTTAAATTAGGTTGTTCCCTCCCTTTGTAATGTCCCCGAGTGACAGTCCGGGTTTTTGTAGCATCACTGTCGTGTACTGTACATTGCTCAATTGATGAGAGTTTTATGATTCTTCAGAAGGGGACGTGACAGCAAAATTAAAATCCTTTCCCCCAGCAAGACCAATGTCCACGGAAAGAGCTGGAATAAAGGGACCCAACGATGTTCACATTGTGTCAATGTGTTAAGGATTAAGGACGTTATGACATTTTAAAAATACTTCAAAAAGCGTGAGAAAAATCGTTTTGTTACAAATTAAAAGTTGGCAAATCTTGAGGCCTCACACTTCCCTGAAGTGTGAACCGAATTATAAAGATGATAGACCACAATGAAGTATTTGATTTCACAAGCCGAGCAATCATAATTACAGGTGTCTTGAGTGTTTTGAAAGGCGCTTATAAATGAAATATATTATTATTATTATTATAATTGCAGCTTGTGATCAGAGCTATTGCGCTATATCTTTTATCGTTGTCATTATTCTCATTCAGAGTTTGTTTCGTGTACAATTCACCAAGGGGACGGGCAAAGAATAGGAATCTCGAGGGCAGAGGGAAGCACTTTAAAACGGTACGTGTGAGCTACGATAGTTAACAGGCTGCAAAAGTGCATGCCTCCGTGTCAGGCTGCTGCTCATCATGGCGTGCGTGTGTATGTGTGTGTGCGTGCGAGGTAACGGGTCGATCGCGGGAGTTTGGTTGATCGAAAAGTCGATCTTCGGTCCAAAATGTTTGGGCACCCCGGCTTTAATGCAAGTATAGTTACATTACATTTGGTATTTCTTGACTATTCAGCTACAGGAAATTTGGATGCTGTCTGTTTTCATTTCAAATGTAAAAATAATTTGGTGGTGTCATTCACTCCATGTAGTTACAACAGCCTTTGAACATACTTTGCAGCAAATATTTGTTTTACTCAGCATCTGATCCTGCAAACTCCAACCATTTCTAAATGACTGACAAAACTGCCTCTCATAAACTCTACCCATTGACTGCCATGTCGTCCGTGTGAACACTGCATGTCAGAGGGGACAGCTGTACTATTAATGTAGTTTAGTTGGGGACCTTCTCAACCTCTTCATTTTGATGCAAATTTTGTTGTATCTCTTCCAACAGACCTCAATGCTGCTCGACATGTTACAGCACGTTTGCTACACTGAAGCTGCACAACCCTAAATTTGAACTTGACATTGTACTATTGATGAACTGCGACCAATTTTTTTCTTAGACCGAGTCAGAGTGCAAGTACCTACTTATATTTGAGTACTCCCCAATACCAAGCGCTGATGCTTAATAATGCCATTACATCTTACAGTTTTAATCCGTGTTTTATTTAAATGAAATATTGATCAAACACACAAAACGACTGTGTTTTTCTAACAGTGTTGCCACACATTTAATGGAAACCTAGCTTTTAACACACAGGGCATTTATGTGGTGCCTCAAATTGACACAGCTGCACTTTGTAAAAAGAGAGCATCGAAAAGAGACGAAGAAGAACATAGTGTCTGGTGGATACACAGATACCATGTTCGCTCTCTTGTTTACTTCAAAATAAAGTGAGTTAAAAAAGAGATTGAGATTACAGGCATTAACGTGTATAAATCTGTATCGGTGCATCCTTACTGTGTCGTGCAGAGATGGGCAACTTAAGATGTAAGAATGTCGATTGCATGTTTATCAGTGTTTTTTTTTAAGAATTTGAGGGCTTTGTGGGGGGATTAATTAAGGGCACACTCACAGTGTGGCATCCTTGGTGTAGTGCAAACCCCCATAAAAAGCTGCATAAAAATCCACAACGTAGTGAGGTGGGGAGCAACCGATTTACCCCAATATAGCAGAGGTTCACTGTTGTGGATGTTCTACATTGTGTTGAAGCTAATTGAATATCTATTATTTTGACTTGTGTTTCGATAAATGTTATGAGGTGTTTAGTGGGAAATTCTGTTTTTGAGCTCATCTATAGTCAATCTCAATGCAGGGCAGCTGCAATGTGGATTCAAGTGCGAACAATGGATGGCAAAGTGACCCACAGGGTCGATTCGCTTTCCAAACTTACCAAAGTGGATGAGCTGCGCCTGAAGATTTCGGAGCTATTTAAGGTGGAGCCGGAGAGACAGAGGCTGTTCTACCGTGGCAAGCAGGTAAGGCGGAATCACCTTTGAGTGAAGGAATGTTTTAGACACCTGCATGCATTGCAAGTCTGTACTGGATTATCATTTGTGAGCAGTATGTCACCATGTCCTGAATTTTTTTCATTAGATGGAGGATGGACACACAATATTTGACTACAACGTGGGCCTTAATGACATCGTGCAGTTGCTTATTAGACAGAACATGCCCTGTGTTGAAATGACCAAAAACAAAGACAAAGAAGCAGAGCTTTCTGACTCTGATTCTGGCTGCGGCTCAACCCAGAGTGAGTCTGACAAGAGCTCGACTCATGGTGAGATGGAGGTTCAGACCGCTGGTACCTCTGTCCAAGTAAACCCCTCACAGGTCTTGGAACCCGGATTCGGATTTTACAAGGTAGGTTAAAACCTCAAATGAAAATTTTATTTGTAGTGTTACTTGGAACAAGGCCTGTCTCAATAATTGCTATATTGATTTATTGTTCGATGTGGAAAAAATTGGCATGATAGTTTTTTTCCCCCAGATTTGGTAAATAGCTATTTGTATGTGTGTTTGTTTACATACGTCATCAACATCCACTCG